TAGGTTTTCATACTTGTACCCACATGCTGTCTAGTTCATCCATTCTGTTCTTGATTCTAGCAGACTGACTGTCTGGCTAAACCACGGAGCTTACGTTGAAGCGAGCGCCGAGCAACGCATTACTATTTTCAGGAACCTAGTAATAGTGCTAACTGTACACGTTCAGGTCAGGTCTGACCATGAATATCACGAATACAACCGCTCCTTCTGGTCGACGTAGGATGCGGTTTCTTTTTTATCATTGCTACCCCGTGAAGCCGCTCCGCGTTTGAGAAATCTTGACAGGGCAGCACTGCTGCTAACTGAGCTTGCTGAGGTTCAAACACTTCCAAGTTCAGCTCCGGAGGCCGGTAGTTAGTCTCACGCGGTTTCTGTTTGATTGGCTGTCAAAGCCCCGCGTTTTCACCACGAAATACTACTACCTCCCCGCAAAATACTACCTCCTCCCCGCGTTTTCCCCTCCTCCCCACGAACGAACTACTCCCTCCCTCCAGTTCTGGCGGCGAGCCATTCCATTTCCTGTCATCCCCGGATGTATCATTGCTGCTCCTCGCATGCCGCGTGAGAGACCCGTGGCTCGTTTCTCTGTCTCTGTGTCTCTCATGTGGGATTTCCATAAAAGCAGCGTAGCTCCTTTTGCAAACTCGCACGAGTGGTACTACTGAGAGATTAAGCCCCCTCGTGCGCCTTGATAGCTCCAACAGCCCGTGAATCCGAAGCAGATCAGCTTGATAGACATTGTACGGTGTTTTATGGCTGTGGATTACATGACGGCCGCGATCATGACACCCAGCAGCAGCAGCAGCAGCGGCATGGCGGTGGATCCGCGGGCGAATCCGGGAGCCAGCAACACCCCTACGTTGGAAGAGGCGAATCCGGGAGCCAGCAGCGTCCCGGCGCTTACGGCGCTGTTCCCGCGGTGGGCGGCAGTGGACGCGGAGCAGCTGAGGCGCGTGCCTCAGGATGTGATGCCGGAGGACGGGCAGTGCTGGCTCAAGTATGGCGAGAAACGGCTTGTTAAAACAGCCTGCCACATGTACGCTTTAACTGCTAAACATATTTGCTTAGTGAAACGGCTTCTCTTAGGGATCACTCGCCCTCTCGTCCTCGTTGTTCCCTTCTGCTGCTGAGCTGCATTGCATTGCCTTTTATGGAATGGTATTTTCCACAAGAACCCAAATTCCTGGCCTGCTGGCAGGCCCCTTAGAGGCTTCCAACAATGCACCACTTCTGTCGGTCCCCTCCCCTTGCTACAATGCACCACTCCTGTCGTTCCCCTCCCCTTGCTACAATACTGCCGTCTCCCCCCTGTCACCCCCTCTGGTTCCCATCCCCACATCGCCCCTCTTCTTTCACCCCTCTGCACCCCTGCCCCCCCTCCCTCAAATCCCCTCCTCTCCCCTCCTCGCCCCCCTCCCTCCCTCCCTCCCTCCCTCCCTCCCTCCCTCCCTCCCTCCCTCCCTCCCTCCCTCTCCCTTCCTCCCCCCGCGCTCCGTGCTCCCCTTGGCCGCTGTGCGCGCTCCACGTGCCTCCCTCCGGCTGCTCTAATCCCCCCCGTGATCTCAGCTTTTCCTCCATCTCCACCCCCCCCTTGCTTCCCCCCCTGCGCTCCGTGCTCCCCCCTACGGCAGATCTTACTTCCGCTGTGTGCGCTCCACCGCAAGACCGACGTCACCATCCACTCTTGCAGCAACACCAACAGCAGCATCCACGCAAGAGGCAACGTCAGCAATGGCAGCAACGCGTTCAGGCTCAGCTGGCCAGCCTGCTCCTTCCCCGGCTGCTTCTGCTGCTGATGATGCTGGTGCACCTGCTGCTTCCGGTGCAGCTTCTGATGCTTATAATCCTTATTCCAAGGCTGATCCTGACGCTGCTGCTGATGCTGCAAAAGCCAGCACTGCCACCGCCCCCTCTCCCACTGTATTGCACCCCTGTCCGGCTCGCAAGTGGGTCGACTGGCACCTATTATTACCCCTCACCCCAGCCGCCCACCCGTCACCGCTGCCGCCCGGTTTCGACCAGGAAGCGCAGCTCGGGGCGGCAGGCAAGCCGCCCGCGTCGATAATTTTCTTCCGAGTGACGTACCTGAACTCGCACAACCACAGTGTTCCGCCCATTGGGCTTCAGATCGAGCCCTCTATAGCACCGGATGCTGCTGCTGCTGCTGCTGCTGCTGCTGCTGCTGGGAATGGTGGGGATTGGGCGGAGCCTGCAGTGAAAGCAGAGATGGATCGGTGGCACGAACAGCAGCCGCAGCAGCAGCATTTGTTGCAGCAGCATTTGCAGCGCTTGCTACAGAATCAGCAGATGCAGCAGCAGCAGCAGCAGGAGCAGCAGCAGGGGCAGCAGGGGCAGCAGCGGCAGCAGGGGCAGCAGCAGCAGGGGCAGCAGCAGGGGCAGCAGGGGCAGCATCAGCAGCATGAGCAGCAGCAGGGGCATCAGCAGGAACATGTCTCCGGGAATGGCCCATTGCAACTCCCGACAACAGTGCACGCAGCACAGCACGCACCACCATATCCCCGCCAGCACCAGATGCAACCGCCACCACCCCTGCCACAACAACGCCCACAGCAGCAGCAGCAGTGGCATCAGCAGTGGCAGTAGCAGTGGCAAGAGCAGTGGCAGCAGCAGTGGCAGCAGCAGTGGCAGCAGCAGCAAGAGGAGTGAAGAGTGGTGTTGCAATCAAATTCCGCCCCATGCTACCTAAACCTACAGCGCTCGCCCACTCCCACCTCCCTTGGGAAGCGGTCACGTGAAGCCGACTCCTCCTTGATATCAGAGCCGTGCTTGCCCTCTCATGCTCCTCATGCCCGCCACACCTCTCACGACTTCGATTTCAAAACATTTGATGCCAGTACCTTTGACTTTGCAGCTTTTGGCGCTTCACAAGGATTCCAAACCTTCCACCGGCTCCAGCCGTCCCCTGAATCGCAATCCACTCATGCTGGTTTTCGTGCAGAAAACGCCTCTCCTGCCCCTCACACGTCTCCCTCCTCTCACGTGTCTGCCGCATCTCATGTATCCTCTGCCTCCCCGGGCGGCTCTCACCCGTCCCATGCATCTCCCGCCTCTGCTGCTGCGACTCACTTCTCTGCTGCCCTGACTCACTCCTTCACGCCACCCAAGCCGATCAAAGTGAGCTTCTCTCCTCCAGTTGACCGCAGTCCCCGTGGGGCAACAGCGGCGACCAGGGGGGGTGGAAGGATGCTGGAAGGTGCACTGTGGTGCAGTCGCTGCAGCAGCAGCAGTAGCAGCAGCAGCAGCAGCAGCAGCATGAACCGCAGCAGCAGCAACTGCAACTGCAGCAGCAGCAATGGCAACCGAAGCGGCAGCCTCTTAATATACTCGCGTCGCTCACCCGTCTGGCTGTTTCCGCTGCTGCCAACATTGCTGCTGCTCCTAACAGTGCTGCTGCCAAGAGTGCTGCTGCCAACAGTGCTACTGCCAACAGTGCTGCTGCCAACAGTGCTGCTGCCAACAGTGCTGCTGCCAACAGTGCTGCTGCCAACAGTGCTGCTGCCAACAGTGCTGCTGCCAACAGTGCTGCTGCCAACAGTGCTGCTGCCAACAGTGCTGCTGCCAACAGTGCTGCTGCCAACAGTGCTGCTGCCAACAGTGCTGCTGCCAACAGTGCTGCTGCCAACAGTGCTGCTGCCAACAGTGCTGCTGCCAACAGTGCTGCTGCCAACAGTGCTGCTGCCAGCACTGCTTGCGAATCTGCCCCTTCATTAGGAGCCGCTCCCATCGTCCCCGCATTCCCATCCCCAGCTTCCCTTTCAGGCACCGCCCTAAACGCCCCTTTACATGCTCCGTTGAATGGCCCTGTAAGCACCCCTGCGGACTCCCAACCTCTGCTGCTCACCGTGCTCCGCCCCAATCTCTCTCGCGCCGACCTCTTGTCAAGCCCCGGCAGCCACGGCAGCAGCCCTATCAGCAGCACCAGCTGCAGCAACAGCAACGCTGGTAACCGCGCCGGGAACGATAATGCTGGGAATAATGCAGGTAGCCACAACTACTGGAGCAGCGAGAGGAACGACAGCTGGCGCGCCGTGGCGGGCGGCGGCAGTGACGTTTACGGGTGGCCTATGAGCAGAAGCTGCAGCGCCACCAATGCAGCTGTGGCTGCTGTACCTTCCCCCGTGACTGCGGTTGGTAACCTGTATGATGACTCAGCACCACGTCAGCTGCAGGGGCTGCTGGAGGATATGGTGCCACGTTAGCTGCTGCTTGGCTCGCGGCCACTCCCAGGAGCAGCAGAGTATCAGGCTCCGGCTGCAGCAGCAGCAACACCAGCACCAGCGGGGGGAGCGTTTCAGATCCCAGCCGCATCAGTAGCACCAGATGCAGCACCAGCTACAGCAGCAGCAGCAGCAGCAGGTGCAGCAGCAGCATTGTCGTTTCAGGCCACCGTATGTGCTGCTGTGGAAGCAGAGCGGTCAGTGCAACGGCAACTGTCGGCTCCGATCCAAGCTCAAGCCCCCGCTATGGCACCAACTGTGACACCTGCTTGTGCGCACAACCAAACGCCTCTGTTCCTGTCGCCTCTGCTGCTCCCTATTGTTGCACACACCCCGTACCAAGCAACAGAAGCAGCAGCAGCGACAGTAGCAGCAGGACCACCACCACCACATTGCATGTTGCCTCATACCCTGCCGCAGCCACTCGCTGCAGAGCTGCCGCCCGCTGCAGTGCCGCCGCCCGCTGCAGTGTTGCCGCCCGCTGCAGTGTCGCCGCCTGCTCTTGTGCTTCCTACCCTTGAAACCCCGTGCTGTCAGTGTGAATGCTGGCAATCCGAAGGGAAGGGATAACAGCAGCAGCAGCAGCAGCAGCAGCAGCAGGAGCAGCAGCCACAGCAAGTGCAGCAGCAGCAGCCAATGGTGCTTCAGATGAGGCCCGAAGCTCCAGTTCACGGGCGTGTTCAGTCTGTAGGGCAAGCGAAGCCAGACGCTGTTCTGATGGAGGTGCCAGCACAGAATGAGGCTTCTCCACTAGCAATGCAAATGCAGCTCCCATTGCCATCAGTCACTACTCGTCCTGGCACCACTCCTCCTCTCACCACTTCACCAGCCACAACGGGCATTCTTCCAAGCGGCACTGCCCCCACCAGTGTGCATCGTCCGGTCGCCTCTCTCCCTCCCATACCCAACCGCCTCCCAAACCTCATCCCCAACCATGAGCTGTATGCAGGGATTGCTGCTGCGCACCTGCACCAGGTCCATCTCCCCCAGGTGCCACCTGCACTGGCTGCCCAGGCTGCTCAGGCAGGGAGTGGTACACTGTCCTACTCATATATTCCGCATGGTTATCCACGTCAGCAGATCATGCCACATCAGCAGTGGGAGGTATGCTATCCTGCCAGTGGGGAGGCTAGCAACAGAGCAGCTTCTTCTGCCGGTGCTTCTGGTGCTGCTGCTGGTGCTGATGGTGATGCTTCTAGTCATGCCATCACAGCGCATGGGCATGCCAGCATAGATAGCATCCATGCCAACATGGATCATACTCGAGATTTTATGGGTGTGGCTGGCAATGCTGTGTGGGCCTCTTGTGCAGGTATAAGCCCTGTGGTTCGAACCTCTGCTGCTGCTGCTGCTGCTGCTGCTGTGCAGACCCAGGGAGTGAGATGCACTCGCACTCTGAGCACGGGGCTTGATGGCTTGGCCGGCATGGCCGGCGTGGGCGACACGGACAGCATGGGGGGCATGGGGTGTGTGGGCGGCACGGGCGGCATGGGGGAGGATGAGTTGCTGGTGGAGGCAGCAGCGTGGCTGGCAGAGCACGGAGGGTTGGAGGCACTAGATTGGCTACCGGACCTGTCAGGCTAATGTAAGGGCATGTTCCTACGGCCCCTTATCAGGCCAACCTCTTATCAGGCTCGCTTCACAACACACTGAAATTTCCCTAAACCCAAAAACCTTCGCGAATTTTACCAGGCAAAAATGCGAAGCTGATACGAGGTGTCCCTGATAAGCGGCCGTAGGAATATGCCCTAAAAGACTGTCACATTAATGGTGCCTCAATAGAGGGAGGGTTGGAGCGAGGAGAAGGATTGGTGGTTCTTGAATAGAGGAATAGCCCGGAGAGGAGATGGATGGATGGCACTTCCATGCTGTTTAGGTTGCCGGAATCGGCAGGCGAATGGATGCACTGCATGCGTGCCGAGTGATACGAATGTTTTTGTTTGTGTGCTTATAAAGCGGATAGGGTGCTGCTTGTGTGATATAGGTGATATCGTTTAAACACCTCTTGATGTGTAAAATTACTGTCCTGATTGCTGCTACGTACTTGGAAGTACCGTAAAACTGGCTTTGGCTTCAATTTGTATATTCTGCCGAGTGTATGGGTTCAGGAGATCTGAAGTGAGTACTGAGGATTTACTCGGATCGTCGTCATAACGCGTTATTGAGACTGTCAGTCCCACACACACAAGATCAGACCAGGCGGGAAGTAGGAACTGAAACAGCGTGAGAGTATCAGTCTTACAGGCAGCCAACTATGGCGGTCATGGAAGCGGCTCGCGTCGCGACATGCGCGGCTTCGAGCTCGCGGCTGGTTCTCCGTCAGCGGGAGGAGCGAGTTTTCCCTTCATATGTCGTCGGAATTCCATCATCCCAGTCCATTCGCCTGCCACATTTGATTCGACCGTCGCCGTCGCTGGTCAGCTTGCCGCTTCTCCCGCCGCGTTCCGCCTTTGGACCTGCCGGAATTCCTAGTAATAAACGACGACCGTCTAGCCGAAACGTTTTCCGTCAAGCAGATAGACGTGGACGTACAACGGCGATCTTCTCAGCAATTCAACCGTCAATCTCCGTCATTTCTCCGTTAATTTCGCCGTGGAATGCTCCGCTTATAGCTGGCGGTGCGGGCAGACTCGTTAATGGCAGCCTCGTTGCCCGAATAAGCGCGAACGGTCCTGTTATAACGAGACGTTTTGCAGCCGCGAGACCTCAGCCAATAGCGAGGCCGTCTAGAGCGAGGCCTCTTACCCGGCCTTTCGTATCGAGGCGTAAGGGTCGAATTGACGCGACTCGCGACGCGGAAGGTGGGAGCGGCGACCGCGAACGATCGGTGGATGAGAAGGCTGTCGCTACAGCCGCTGACGATGCTTCCGACAAACGGCGGCGCGTCAGTGTCGAGAGCGACTTTAACGGGGCTGCTAATGACGAGGCTGGTTCAATCGGGGACGCGGCGCGGCGGATCTGGGACGTGAGCGGGCGCGATCTGGTGCAGGTGGCGCTGGAGGCGAGCCGCGCGACGGACGGCTCGCGATTCCTGGCGCCGTGCGGCGTGCGACGCGAGTTGCCGCTGCTCGTGTACCTGCCTGGTCTAGACGGCACGGTGAGAGGAGGTGGTTGGGGCAAGCGAGATGCAGGTATGGGGTCACTTTTGAGAATTCTCAAAAGTTAACACTGTGTGACGTGAGCTACCGCTGCTCGTGTACTTGCCCGGGCTAGACGGCACGGTGAGAGGCGATGGTGTATGGGTGTGGGTTGAGGGGCTCGGGTTTAGGGTTTTACATTGTGGTGACACGAGCGGGCGCTGTTCCACTCATTGCACCCTCCAACCCCCCACATTCAAATACCCCCCTCCTCCCCAACACCCCAACCGCCCCACCCCAATCCCCACACCCACCCCCCAGGGCGTGTTCCTGGAGCGCCATCTGGAGGGCTTAAAGCCATGCTACGATGTGCGCTCCCTCTGCATCCCGGCCGCTGACGCCTCCTCCTACGCTCAGCTCGCCCACCTGTACGTGCTCTCATTCACTGCTTGGTATGGCTGTAGCAGGCTGTAGCAGCGTTGCATGGCATCCGGCCGGCTTAAAGCCATGCTACGACGTGCTGCGCAGATGCTTCTGATCCCGGCTGCTGGTGCTTCCCCCTATAACCAGCCCTCCCAGCTGTGAGAGTGCTGTGAGAGGGTTTTTACACCTGTAGCAGTGATTCAGATGGCTGTAGCACCACAGAGTGATACTGCTGTAGCGGCATTGAGTGACACGGTTGTAGCGGCATTGAGTGACACGGTTGTACCGGCGCGGCACTGCTTGAAACTACAGCTGTCTCTGCATTTCCGCCCTCACAAGCATGATCGGCCCATGAAGCAGTGATTCCGATCCATCCACGGGTGAAGAAAGACAGGACCTTGCCTCCAATCCCCTCCACCCTCCCTCTCCCCTCCCTCTCCCGTCCCTCTCCCATCCTGCTCCCCTCCCCCTATCCTTCCCTCTCCCATCCCCCTCCCCCTCCCTCTCCCCTCCCCCTCGCCCCCACCCCCCCCCCCCCTTTGACCCCCTCGCCCCCATGTTCCATACCGCAGAGTGGCGGGTCTCATTCAACAAGAGCAGGACCCGGATGGCAGAGCGCGCTGCTGCTGCAAGCATCCACAAGTGAAGAGTCAATTCCCTGACTCCCCCCCCTCCACTTTCCACCCTCCCCATACGCCCCCATCTCTCTCCTCCGCAGAGTGGCGGGTCTCATTCAACACGAGCAGGACCTGCGAAGGGAGATCACGCTGCTGCAAGCGTCCTTGGGTGCGAGAGCCATGGGATACGCCTCTGATGAGGACGGAATGCCTGCAGGGACAGGCACAACCGCAGCACCCGCAGCAGAAGAAGCCGCAGCACCTGCAGCACCTGCACTGGAAGATGCAGCAGCAGCGGCGCCTGTGGCAGTGACGGTGGTGGCGGAGTCGTTTGGAGCGGGGGTGGCGCTCTCCCTCGCTGCCACCCATGCTAACCTGGTTGCCCACCTCGTCATCTGCAACAGGTGGGCGTTGGTGCGTGTGGATGCAAGCTGCATGCATGCGCCTGTGGCAGTGACGGTGGTGGCGGAGTCATTCGGAGCCGGGGTGGCACTCTCCCTTGCTTCCACCCATGCGAACCTGGTTGCCAACCTCGTCATATGCAACAGGTGCTCGTGCATATGCAACAGGTGCTCGTGCATATGCAACAGGTGCTCGTGCATATGCAACAGGTGCTCGTGCATATGCAACAGGTGCTCGTGCATATGCAACAGGTGCTCGTGCATATGCAACAGGTGCTCGTGCATATGCAACAGGTGCTCGTGCATATGCAACAGGTGCTCGTGCATATGCAACAGGTGCTCGTGCATATGCAACAGGTGCTCGTGCATATGCAACAGGTGCTCGTGCATATGCAACAGGTGCTCGTGCATATGCAACAGGTGCTCGTGCATATGCAACAGGTGCTCGTGCATATGCAACAGGTGCTCGTGCATATGCAACAGGTGCTCGTGCATATGCAACAGGTGCTCGTGCATATGCAACAGGTGCTCGTGCATATGCAACAGGTGCTCGTGCATATGCAACAGGTGCTCGTGCATATGCAACAGGTGCTCGTGCATATGCAACAGGTGCTCGTGCATATGCAACAGGTGCTCGTGCATATGCAACAGGTGCTCGTGCATATGCAACAGGTGCTCGTGCATATGCAACAGGTGCTCGTGCATATGCAACAGGTGCTCGTGCATATGCAACAGGTGCTCGTGCATATGCAAAAGGTGCTCGTGCATATGCAACAGGTGCTCGTGCATATGCAACAGGTGCTCGTGCATATGCAACAGGTGCTCGTGCATATGCAACAGGTGCTTGTGCATATGTGTGTAGATGGGTGGGTGGGTGTGTGTGTGGGTGTGTGTGGGTGTGTGTGGGTGTGTGTGTGGGTGTGTGTGGGTGTGTGTGGGTGTGTGTGGGTGTGTGTGGGTGTGTGTGGGTGTGTGTGTGTGTGTGTGGGTGTGTGTGGGTGTGTGTGGGTGTGTGTGGGTGTGTGTGGGTGTGTGGGTGTGTGTGTGTGTGTGTGGGTGTGTGTGGGTGTGTGTGGGTGTGTGTGTGTGTGTGTGGGTGTGTGTGGGTGTGTGTGGGTGTGTGTGGGTGTGTGTGGGTGTGTGTGGGTGTGTGTGGGTGTGTGTGGGTGTGTGTGGGTGTGTGTGGGTGTGTGCCGGGCCCTTCGATTCTACCGTTTGATGATTGATTCCCCACTCCCTTTCCCATCCCATCCCATCCCATCCCATCCCATACCTCCAACAAATGCAGTGCGAGTGGCTTTCGCCGTCAGCCAGCCCTTCAACTCGGAGCGCTGCTGGTGAGCCGGATACTTCCCTGTTCTAACCACACCTATCTAACCACACCTCTCTAACCAAACCTCTCTAACCGCACCTATCTAACCACACCTCTCTAACCACACCTCTCTAACTGCACCTATCTAACCACACCTCTCTAACCACACCTCTCTAACTGCACCTATCTAACCACACCTCTCTAACCACACCTCTCTAACCACACCTCTCTAACTGCACCTATCTAACCACACCTCTCTAACCACACCTCTCTAACCGCACCTCTCTAACCACACCTCTCTAACCACACCTCTCTAACCACACCTATCTAACCACACCTCTCTAACCACACCAACGAAAGCACGCCTCGGGGGCGAATTTGCAAATACACCATCGCTGCCCCAACAGCCTTGCTCTCTTAGAGGCTCCTTAAAAGCACTCTCGCTTCAAAGTCCTCCTCCCGCCTCTCCCCTGCCACCCAATGGTCTTCTGACATGAGACCCAGACAGCAACAGGTCTTTAGTCTTTTCTTCCCTAAACCCCCTTCTCCTGGTTTGATTCCCATCTCTGTGCTCTTCCCTCCTCTCCTCTTTCGACCTCTTCCACCTCTTGGTCATTCCCGTGGCCATCCAATGCCCATTTCTTTCCCAATCCCCATGCCAGGCACCCTTTGCGCCAGACATTCCCGTCCTGGCACAGCTCTCCTCTTTCACCTCCGTGCCTCTCCTCCCTAATTCCCATAAATCTATCATCTCCCCATCCATCTCCCCATCCCTCTCCCTATCCCAGGCACCCTTTGCACCCGACATTCCTGTCTTAGCGCAGCTCTCCTCATTGGCGCTCGCGCCTCTCCTCTCTGACTGGGATAGTTTGGGGGAGCGAGAGAGGACCCTGATCACCCCGCCATTCAGGTGTTTTTTGTGTTCGCTAGGTGCTTTCTGCGCCCTTCAGGTGCTTTTTGTGCTCGTCAGGTGCTTTCTGTGCCTTTCAGGTTCTTTCTGCACCCTTCAGGTGCTTTTTGTGCCTTTCTGTACGGGCAGTAGCGGCGCCTGACGCGAGGTCAAATGGCGAAACACTGTCCTTAGAATCGCTCAGTAGGTACAGCTGCAGGTCGTCAAGCCACGTGTCAAACTGAATCGGTCTGCCCTCATGATCGAACGCGAGAACTCGAATCGAAGCCATAGTGGTGCAGCACGCAGGAGCAGCAGTAGCAGCAGTAGCAGCAGTAGCAGCAGTAGTAGCAGCAGTAGCAGTAGCAGCAGTAGCAGCAGTAGCAGTAGTAGCAGTAGCAGCAGCAGCAGAGGGGCCGAGGGGCCGCGGGGCCAGGAACGAAGGGGCCGAGGGGCCGGGGGGCGAGGGGCTACGGGCCGCGGGGCCAGGGGCGAAGGGGCCTAGGGGCCGGGGGCCTAGGGGCGTCGGGCCGCGGGGCCAGGAACGAAGGGGCCGGGGGCCGAGGGGCCGGGGGGGGTCTAGGGCGACGGGCCGCGGGGCCAGGAACGATAGGGGGGGCCGAGGGGCCAGGGGCCTAGGGGCGTCGGGCCGTGGGGCCAGGAACAAAGGGGCCAGGGGCCGAGGGGCCGGGGGCCTAGGGGCGACGTGGCCGCGGGGCCAGGGGCGAAGGGGCCGAGGGGCCGGGGGCCTAGGGGCGTCGGGCCGCGGGGCGAGGAACGAAGGGGCCGGGGGGCCTAGGGCGACGGGCCGCGGGGCCAGGGGCGAAGGGGCCGAGGGGCCGGGGGCCTAGGTGCGTCGGGCCGCGGGGCCAGGACCGAAGGGGGCGGGGGCCGAGGGGCCGAGGGCCTAGGGCGACGAGAGGGGCCGCGGGGCGACGGGGCCTAGGGCGACGGGGGGCCGCGGGGCGACGGGGCCTAGGGCGACGGGGGCCGCGGGGCGACTGGTCGTGGGCGACGGGGGGCCGCGGGGGCCTAGGCTAGGGGCGACGGGCCGCGGGGCCTGGGCCTAGGCTAGGGGCCCTTCACCCCGTCACCTTGTCACCCCGTCACCTTGTCACCCCGTCACCTTTTCGCCCCTTCATTATTCACCCCTTGACCCTTGACCCCTTGATCCCGTTCCCCTTTCAACCCGGTCCCCTCTTCTCCTCCTTCCCTGCACCCCCTCCTTCTTCCACCCCCTCCCCACCAGCACGAGCGTGCTTCCACCAGCAACGGTGGCACGACGTGTTGCCATGATGTCTGCGCTACAGCCGTCTGACGCCATGCTACAGTCCATCACAGCCAGCACTCTGCTGATTGCAAGGTGGGCGCCCGGATACTATGCTACAGCTAGTGAATGCCACGCTACAGCCGTCTGACGCCATGCTACAGTCCATCACAGCTAGCACCTCCTCATTGCCAGGTGGGCACTCAATGCTTCGGCTATCCGCCGCCCAATGCACCGCTACAGCCGTCCGATGCCATGCTACAGTCCATCACAGCCAGCACTCTCCTTGTTGCCAGGTGGGAGTGATTGAGGACTATGCTGCTGCCTTCCAATCCAATGCTACAGTTGTCCAATGCACCGCTACAGCCGTCCGATGCCATGCTACAGTCCGTCACAACCAGCACCCTGCTCATCGCCAGGTAGGTAAAAAGGCCTATATGGGCACCGCTACAGACAGTTTATCACAGCCAGCACTCTCCTTGTTGCCAGTTGGGTGCTTTCGGTTCGACTCAAAAACAGGCTCAACTCAAATGCAGTGCTGCATTCTTCAGATGCCTTGCTACAGCTGCCCAATACACCGCTACAGCCGTCCAATGCCATGCTACAGCCCATCACAGCCAGCACTCTCCTCATCGCCAGGTGGCCACTTAAAGACCATGCTACAGCTGTTCAATGCGGCACTGGATACTTGCTGACGACATGCTATTTGAACTGGAACTATGCTGTAACCATCTGGACCCGTCTTGACCCATCTTCACCCATCGCATGCGTGCAGTGGGGAGGACCGGCTGATACCATCAGTGGAGGAAGCGTACGGGCTGGCCACATGCATCCCAGCGTGCCGCATCAAGATTCTGCCCTTCTCCGGCCACACTGCACTGCTGGAGGTGAGACACATGGCGCTGCTGGAAGTGAGGTTTAAGTCATTCTGGAGGAGTGTGGATTGCTGCTGCCTTCCCTCTGGTTCCTAACGCATCATATGTACAAACCAACTGCTCTCGGTACCGTTTACTCTTCAACCCCTTGTCCCGCTCTCCCGTCCTTCCCCCCCCCCCCCCCCCTCCGCCCTGTTCATCAGGCGGCTGTTTCTCTGCGAGAGATCCTGGAAGAGAGTGGAGTGCTGCTGCCCTCTGCAGCCTTCCCTCTCGTGACCCAACCATGCATCCCCACAACCATATCCTGCTCACGCCCCTCGCTTCCCTTTCATCAGGCGGGTGTTTCTCTGCGAGAGATCCTGGAAGAGAGTGGAGTGCTGCTGCCCTCTGCAGCCTTCCCTCTCGTGACCCAACCATGCATCCCCACAACCATATCCTGCTCACGCCCCTCCCTTCCCTTTCATCAGGCGGGTGTTTCTCTGCGAGAGATCCTGGAAGAGAGTGGAGTGCTGCTGCCCTCTGCAGCCTTCCCTCTCGTGACCCAACCATGCATCCCCACAACCATATCCTGCTCACGCCCCTCCCTTCCCTTTCATCAGGCGGGTGTTTCTCTGCGAGAGATCCTGGAAGAGAGTGGAGTGCTGCTGCCCTCTGCTGCCTTCCCTCTCGTGACCCAACCATGCATCCCCACAACCATATCCTGCTCACGCCCCTCCCTTCCCTTTCATCAGGCGGGTGTTTCTCTGCGAGAGATCCTGGAAGAGAGTGGAGTGCTGCTGCCCTCTGCAGCCTTCCCTCTCGTGACCCAACCATGCATCCCCACAACCATATCCTGCTCACGCCCCTCCCTTCCCTTTCATCAGGCGGGTGTTTCTCTGCGAGAGATCCTGGAAGAGAGTGGAGTGCTGCTGCCCTCTGCAGCCTTCCCTCTCGTGACCCAACCATGCATCCCCACAACCATATCCTGCTCACGCCCCTCCCTTCCCTTTCATCAGGCGGGTGTTTCTCTGCGAGAGATCCTGGAAGAGAGTGGAGTGCTGCTGCCCTCTGCTGCCTTCCCTCTCGTGACCCAACCATGCATCCCCACAACCATATCCTGCTCACGCCCCTCCCTTCCCTTTCATCAGGCGGGTGTTTCTCTGCGAGAGATCCTGGAAGAGAGTGGAGTGCTGCTGCCCTCTGCAGCCTTCCCTCTCGTGACCCAACCATGCATCCCCACAACCATATCCTGCTCACGCCCCTCCCTTCCCTTTCATCAGGCGGGTGTTTCTCTGCGAGAGATCCTGGAAGAGAGTGGAGTGCTGCTGCCCTCTGCAGCCTTCCCTCTCGTGACCCAACCATGCATCCCCACAACCATATCCTGCTCACGCCCCTCCCTTCCCTTTCATCAGGCGGGTGTTTCTCTGCGAGAGATCCTGGAAGAGAGTGGAGTGCTGCTGCCCTCTGCTGCCTTTCCTCTGGACCCCGTCCCTCCCTCTGATGACGAGAACGAGCCTGCTTATAGCGAGGATGAGAAACTTGCCAACAGCGCGGCAAATAAGCCTGCTAATGGCGAGGATGGACTGGCAGTGCATGCTCAGGAGAGCAGCCGTGCAGCTAGTAGCGGCAGCACCACCACCAGCAGTGCAACTAGCCACGGCAGCACCAGCAGCAGTGCAGCTGGCAGCGGCAGCACCACCAGTAGTGCAGCTATTAGCGGCAGCACGAGCAGCAGTGCTTTGTTGTATGCATCTGAAGCTGGAGCTAGCAGTGCAAGCCGAACCGTGTCTAGCAGTGAAAGTTCAGGTGAAAGTTCAGGAGGGATGGAGGGGGCAGGGTACAGCAGCAGTGAGGAGGGGGAGTTTAGCATGGAGGGGAAGGACTGGGATGATGCTGACGTGGCTGCTGTGCTTGGCCTGGCCAGCTCTGCTGCCACGGATGCTGGGCCAATCACAGGCCCCGATGCTGATGCTGCCGCGCTTGCCTCCAATGAAGTGTCTACAATGTCAAGAACTGTGGGAATTCTTGCAGAACCTGAACTTGAGTCGACTCAAAAGCTGTCAAGAAATGTGGGAGCTCCTGCAGAGCCTGAACTTGAGAGTGTTGCTGCTGCTGCCCCTGCTGCTGCTTTCCTCTCGAGAGGCCAAGAGGAAGCGATTTTTAACTCTGCTTCTGCTGTGCTGGCAACAGCAACCGCTGTGGCAGCAGAAACAGCAGCGGCCGTGGCAACGACTACAGCAGCAGCCGCTGTGGCAGCGGCAAGAGTGGTGGCAGCAGAAGCATCAGGGGTGCCAGCAGCAGCAGTGGCAGCGGAACAGTAGCAGCAGTGGCAACAACAACAGCAGAAGCAGCAGTTGCAGTGGCAAGAGTGGTGGCAGCAGAAACAGCAGGGGTGCCAGCAGCAGCAGAGACAGGAACAACAGTAGGAGCAGAAACTGAAGCGGTGGCAAGACCAGAGATTGGAGATGCTGGGATAGAAGCTGAAGGGGGGGAGAATGGAGATGTGTGGGTGGAAGTTTCTCGGAAGCGGGAGGAGGCGCAGGGAGAGGTGGTGCTTCGGGAATGGTCTCAGGTTCGGGCGGTGCAGGCCTGGAAGGACGGGGGTTTGGTGCAAGTTTGGAAGGGAAAGGAGAAAGGGAGAGGGGATCCGGGAGGGGGCGGGGCAGAGAAAGGGGAAGGAGGAACAGGAGGAATGGTGAGGAGCTTACGGGAGTGGAGCAAGGGGAGGAGGGGAGAGGAGAGAAGCAGGGAGGAGGGAAGGAGAGAGAACGGGAGGGGCCGCAAGGACTGCAAGTGGTGCAAGGAGAGCCGGTCAAGAAGGTCAAGCGGGTCAAGCGGGGTTTGAGGCTGGATGGGTACTATGAGATGATGAAGGGTAAAGGAGATGCCGCATGGGCTGATCGCATGTTCCCCCAAGCTGCCTCTGCTTCTCAAGCTGCCATCACTTCTCAAGCTGGCACTGCTTCTCAAGCTGTCACTGCTTCTCAAGCTGTCACTGCTTCTCAAGCTGTCACTGCTTCTCAAGCTGCATCTCCTGCTCGTGAGCCCTCTCAGCCAGCTTTGGTTTCATCCCAAGCTGCTGTCTCGGTCTCATCCCATCCCAACGAGCTAGCATCTGCTAGGAACGGGCGTGCAGGCAAGGGGGCAGAGAGGGGTGTGGAGAGCAGTGCAGAGAGCAGTAGTGATGGTAGCGGTGATGCTGCTGCTGCTGCTGCTGCTGCTGCTGCAGGTGTTGCCACTGTTCCGAATGCCGCTAATGGAGCTGCGCTCCCCGATTCTACTTCTACTGCCAGAAATGGTGTTTCCAGTAACGAAGCTGCTAATAAGGGGACAGGCGTTGGTGCAAGAGCTGTTAATAATGCCACTGGCGCTGCTGCTGTTGCTGCTTCTACCACTGCTGCTGCTGCTGTTGCTGTTGCTGCTTCTGCTTCTGCTTCTGCTTCTACCACTGCTGCTGCTGCTGTTGCTGTTGCTGCTTCTGCTTCTGCTTCTGCTTCTGCTTCTGCTTCTACCACTGCTGCTGCTGCTGTTGCTGTTGCTGCTTCTGCTTCTGCTTCTGCTTCTGCTTCTACCACTGCTGCTGCTTCATCCTCAGAGAAAGCAACACAACAGAGGGGCGTGGGAGGTGTGGTGGGGGAAGCAAGGGTTGGGGGGAAAGAGGAGCAGCAGCAAGGTGGGGAAAGAAACGCGGAAGGGAAAGGGGAAAGAAAAGTGGAAGCGAAAGGGGAAGGAAAGGGGGAAGGGGGAGGAGAGGGGCGGAGGTACATGGGGTCAGTGGAGGGGCGGGCGACGGAAGGGGAGGTGGGGCGGGCACTGGAGGGTATGCTGGATGACATGCCTCAGTACCGCCTCTGGAACTGGGTGGCACGGCCGCTCTATGTTGGTATGTGTGTGTGAGGTGGGGGGTGTGTGAAGGCGGAACCTATCCTTGGTGTGCTGTTCCCCCGTTGGAGGGTATGCTGGATGACATGCCTCAATACCGCCTCTGGAACTGGGTTGCACTGCACGGCCGCTCTATGTTGGTGGGTGGGCGTATAGGGGTCATGCATGGTATGCTGGGCCGGTCCACTGGAGGGTATGCTGGATGACATGCCTCAATACCGCCTGTGGAAATGGGTTGCACTGCACGGCCGCTCTATGTTGGTGGGTGGGCGTATAGGGGTCATGCATGGTATGCTGGGCCGGTCCACTGGAGGGTATGCTGGATGACATGCCTCAGTACAGGTTGTGGAACTGGGTCGCACGGCCTCTTTATGTAGGTACATGTGAATGTGTGTGTGAGCGAGGGACAATGGACATGGTATGCTCTATGTGGGACATGGTATGCTCTATGTGGGACATGGTATGCTCTATGTGCGACATGGTATGCTCTATGTGCGACATGGTATGCTCTACTGTGTTGTGCTGTGCTAGAATATGCTGGATGATATGCCGCAGTACCGCCTCTAGAACCAGAGTGCATGGCCTCTCTATGTTGGTATGAGTGCACGGCCTCTCTATGTTGGTATGAGTGCACGGCCTCTCTATGTTGGTATGAGTGCACGGCCTCTCTATGTTGGTATGAGTGCACGGCCACTCTATGTTGGTATGAGTGCACGGCCTCTCTATGTTGGTATGAGTGCACGGCCTCTCTATGTTGGTATGAGTGCACGGCCTCTCTATGTTGGTATGAGTGCACGGCCACTCTATGTCGGTATGAGTGCACGGCCTCTCTATGTTGGTATGAGTGCACGGCCTCTCTATGTTGGTATGAGTGCACGGCCTCTCTATGTTGGTATGAGTGCACGGCCTCTCTATGTTGGTATGAGTGCACGGCCTCTCTATGTTGGTATGAGTGCACGGCCACTCTATGTTGGTATGAGTGCACGGCCTCTCTATGTTGGTATGAGTGCACGGCCACTCTATGTTGGTATGAGTGCACGGCCTCTCTATGTTGGTATGAGTGCACGGCCTCTCTATGTTGGTATGAGTGCACGGCCACTCTATGTTGGTATGAGTGCACGGCCTCTCCATGTTGGTATGAGTGCACGGCCTCTCTATGTTGGTATGAGTGCACGGCCTCTATGTTGTAGTGCACGGCCTCTCTATGTTGGTATGAGTGCACGGCCTCTCTATGTTGGTATGAGTGCACGGCCTCTCTATGTTGGTATGAGTGCACGGCCATCTCTATGTTGGTATGAGTGCACGGCCTCTCTATGTTGGTATGAGTGCACGGCCTCTCTATGTTGGTATGAGTGCACGGCCTCTCTATGTTGGTATGAGTGCACGGCCTCTCTATGTTGGTATGAGTGCACGGCCTCTCTATGTTGGTATGAGTGCACGGCCTCTCTATGTTGGTATGAGTGCACGGCCTCTCTATGTTGGTATGAGTGCACGGCCTCTCTATGTTGGTATGAGTGCACGGCCTCTCTATGTTGGTATGAGTGCACGGCCTCTCTATGTTGGTATGAGTGCACGGCCTCTCTATGTTGGTATGTGTGTACGGGTTGGAGAGGACTCCTCCACCCATCCCCATCCCCCACCCTCCATGGCACATCGCAGGGCTGGACAAGATTCCTCGCAACGAGGGAAAGCTGCTGTTTGTTGGCAATCACACCATCTTCGGTATCTATGACATGTGCGTTGAAGGGGGGGCAGGGGAGGGGGAGGGTAGGGAGGGGGAGAGGGGATGGAGGGGGAAAGCTTAGGGGTGTGGTGTTCCAACGAGGGAAAGCTGCTGTTTGTTGACAATCACACCATCTTCGGTATCTATGACATGTGCGTTAGGAGGAAAGGGCGAGGGGAAGAAGGAGAGGGGGGAGGGTGGAGGGATTTGAAAGGTGAGGGAGAGGGAGGGGGAGAGTCACTAGACTACTTTTGAGGCGCCTCAAAAGGGAGTCACTTGAAGGACCCTGAATGACTCAACCCTCCGGGAGGGCACGCTGCTGTTTGTGGGCAACCATACTATCTTTGGCATCTATGACATTTGCGTTGGGGGGGGTTGCAAGGAGGGGGAGGAGGGCAGTGGGAAGGGGCCTGGGACCCTGGGAAGCAGGCTGGGACCCTAAGGGCGGATTCCTAACTTCGTGTCATCCGAATTTATTTTTCCCCGAGCCAATGTTTGCCGATTCGACTTCGGGTCATCCGACGTGGCACATTTGGGTGGTCCCACATGTTCGGATGACACAAGGGCCGGATGACACGAAGTTAGGAATCCGCCCTAACCCTCCCAGAGGGCAGGCTGCTGTTTGTGGGCAATCACACTCTCTTTGGCATCTATGACATGTGCGTGGGGGGGGTAGTAGGGAGGGAGGGGGTGAGGAGGGTGGGGGGGACGGAGATGGAAAGTGTGAATTTCCATTAATGGGCATCCTCCACACCATCTTCGGTATCTGTTGGAATTTTTGACACATGCGCTTCCCTTTACCCCCCGTGCTTCCATTCTACTCATATATATGAGATCTGTACGCCTCCGCATGCATTGAGGTAATTATTTAGGCGCCTAAAAAATCACCCCCATGCTTCCATTCTACTCATTCTTTGGTATCTTTTGAGACGTCTCAAAAGTGGTATTGTTCTACTCAGGAGATCTGTACGCCTCCTTCGTTCTTCCACCCCCTCCCAGGCCGCTCATGATCCGAGACATTCACATGCGCACGGGCGTCACTCTCAGAGGGTTGGCTGCATCTCCTCCCTACTGGCAGGGCTGGCCTGGCCCCCTTTGCATGTATCATTCACCAGTGCCTCCTCCTTTCACCCCCTTCCCTGCACAGGCCGCTCATGATCCGAGACATTCACATGCGCACGGGCGTCACTCTCAGAGGGTTGGCTGCATCTCCTCCCTACTGGCAGGGCTGGCCTGGCCCCCTTTGCATGTATCATTCACCAGTGCCTCCTCCTTTCACCCCCTTCCCTGCACAGGCCGCTCATGATCCGAGACATTCACATGCGCACGGGCGTCACTCTCAGGGGCCTGGGCGCGCCTACCCACTGGCAGGGGCCCTTTGCAGACCAATTCACCAAATACGGCGCTGTGCGGGTGAGGTTGTGGGGGGTTGAGGCGGGGAAGGGGATGGAGATGAGGATGGGGATGGGAATGGGGATGGGAATGGGGATGGGGATAGGAATGGGAATGGGGATGGGGATGGGGAGGCATTGGCAGGGCCCCTTTGCTGACCTGTTCACCAAATACGGCGCTGTGCAGGTGAGATGGGGGCGGATGGGGATGGGGATGGGGAGGGGGATGGGGATGGGGCGGGTAAGGGGATGGGGATGGGGCGGGTAAGGGGATGGGGATGGGATAAGCATGTTGTACAGTCTGAAAGAAACTAGGAGCTGTAGAAACTTGAGGAAGAATGATTGACATTAGCTCAAGAGAGCACAAGGTTATACAAGGAAGAGAAGGCTGAAGGAGAAAGGTTGGGTTGACCATAGGTTGGGTTGGCCTCACTTTGGGAAGTGAGGCAACCTAAGGTCAAGTGGGTTGCATTTGGGGGCTCCACCACAATTGGGTTGGATTGGCACCCCACAATGCAAGACTACACCCAAAGTTGGGTGTTAGTCCCAACCCAACTGTACACCACAATTGGTGTACAGTCACAAGTGTTAGCATGCTAGAACATACAATTCTAACACAGTCAGGGTTGAAGGCAAATAGACGGCATAGGCAGGGGCCGTTTGCGGACCAGTTAACCAAATATGGTGCTGTGCGGGTGAGATGGGGGGGGTTGGGATGGGGATGGGAGTGGTGACATTGATGGTAAAGGCAGGTTGTGTTGCCAGGGTTGAAAGAGGTGGGGGTACGGCGGGGCCACTGACCTTACCCTCCTCCCTCACCCTCCTTCCTCCCTTCACATGTCAGGTGTCCCCTCGCGCGTGCTACCAGCTGTTGAGGGAGGGGGAGAATCTGCTGCTGTACCCGGGGGGCGGAAGGGAGGTGAGGAAGCGGAAGAACGAGAAGTACAAGCTGTTTTGGCGGGACACGACTGACTTTGTGCGCATCGCTGTGCGCTGTGGCGCCACCATCGTTCCCTTTTCTACTATTGGAGTGGAGGACGCATTTGATGTTCTGATGGATCCCGAGTGAGTTGGGGGGAGTGGTCGACCGAATGAGGGAGAGGCCTTCAGGTGAGCCTTTTTGAGTGACTGGGGACTGGGTCAGAAGTACAAGGTGTTTTGGTGTCTGTGTCGTATCAAAAGCTGTTTTGGGGCCACACGACCGACTTTGTGCGCATTGCCGTGCGCTGTGGCGCCACCATCGTGCCGTTCTCGGCTATCGGGGTGGAGGATGCATTTGACGTGCTCATGGACCCTGAGTGAGTGAGGGAGAGTGGGAAGGAGTGGGAGGGAGTGAGTGACCGAGAGTGCTGAAGGCAGCACTGACCTTAGCAAGTCCTTATGCTCTCCTCCCTCAAACCCCCCATCTCCCCTCCCATGCTCTTCACCGCACAGGGAAATCATGTCCTCGCCCATCGGCCCTTGGTTGAAGCCAGCACTGGAAGCCACAGGCATGCAGTCGCCCCCCTTCCCCCTCGCCTCCAATGCCGGTCTGCTGCCGCGCCCCCAGCGCCTCTACTTCCTCTTCTCTGACCCCATCCGCACTGATGGCCTGGATCCGGGCATCATACGAGACAAGGAAGAGTGCAATAGAATCTAACTGGTGGGCCAGTTCAGTTGGTCTCCCTCCTTGCCTGTCTGTATGCAATCCCCCGCTCACTGGCTGTGCTGCCTGCTGCCGCACCCCCAGCGCCTCTACTTCCTCTTCTCCGACCCCATCCGCACTGACGGCTTTGATCCCACGATCATACGCGACAAGGAGGAGTGCAGCAGGATGTACCAGGTGGGTTGCTCCCTCCCTCTCTTTCGCTTCGCCTCCTGTGTGGAATATACCATCAGGATATAGCATGTGTGCTGCCTGCTGCCACGCCCCCAGCGCCTCTACTTCCTCTTTGGTGACCCCATCAGCACGGAAAGGGATATATCCCGGCATCATACGTGACAAGGAAGAGTGTAATAGAATATACCAGGTGTGTTGCATTTTCTCTGCATCTGTTGATCACACCAGCAGATTGTATCACATCTGTTGCTGCCTCGCCCCCAGCGCCTCTACTTCCTATTCTCTGACCCCATCCCCATCTTCTCTTCTCTCACCCCACCACCACAGCACCAAATGGTGCAGGGGAGAGTGGAGGGTGGCATAGAGCAACTCAAGGAAATGCGCTGGGCAGACCCACTTGCCATCACACATGCCTTGTTTCACAACCCCTGCCATTCCCCCTCCGCTGTTGATGTGTCCCTTTGTGCCTCGTCCCGGCACCAGATGGTGCGGGGGAGAGTGGAGGGCGGAATAGAGCAGCTCAAGGAGATGCGTCGGGCAGACCCGCTGCGAGAAACGCTTCCCAGAATAGCGGTGAGGGGAGGGTGGCTGGCTCTGCTTGGGAGGTGGTGAGGCTGGGGACGGAGATTCAAGTCTGGCTGTGTGGTGAGACTTGTTTTGTTGTTTCAGGCGGAGCCTCATTGGTCAATCCATTTCAAGAAGCTCTTCCCAGAATAGCGGTGAGGGAGACTGGTTGGGTTTTGGTTGTGAGTTGAGGCATGCGGGGGAGGGGGGCAAGTGCGGCTTACTTGAGATCCATTCATCTCTTCAACTTATTTTCGAGAATGCAGGGGGGTTATCTTGTCCCATGCATGTGTTAGCCCTCAGATCAAACCCATTGCTCCCACACCCGTTGGCCCCATAGATATTCCCATAGCCCTCAGCCGCACTGATACCATGGCCCTGTGGTTGGGTGTGGTTGGGTGCGGTTGCAACTTGCAGGTCAACCTTCTGGACGGTTGGGATGGCACTTGATCCGGGCGACGGCAGCGGCTGGATTTCGAGACGTCTTGAACCCACGGCAACGGTGGAGTTCTATCGACTATTGCAGTGCCACATCAATGTGTCATGTATTTTGAAGTAGAAGCCAATTTGTTCATTTCTACAGGGCAGTCTATCTACCTGGTCAGTCAGCTAGTGTAGTACTCCAATGCAGGTGGTGTCTGTCCCTGATTGGTTTAAACATGGCATGGCAGCAGACACACCACTCAGTTCGGTTCAGAGCAATCCAGTACAGTGCAATCATGTGTTCAGGCAAGGACACAGTAGTGCTAACTGTTAGAATCAACTGTGTAGGAATGAATGAACTATGAATGAGTTGGGTACAAGTACTACCGTATCACCCCGGATAGAAGCGCAGGCCTATTATAAGCGCATGCGCTTCTATCTGGAGCAATGCGCTTATGGCCGATCCTCAATTATAAGCGCACCCCCTGTGAAAACGTTACTTATTATAAGTGCATGTACAATTTTAAATTAAAATTTCTGTTCGAAACGGTAGCGAGTTTCAATTTTGAAGCGAGTACAATCTCATTTTCGCTGAGTTAGACTCTCGAAGACCTGACTGGCTGCGCGTCCAGTCAGGATGTGCTGGCATGATTGCAAAGTGTTGCATCTTGGCCCCTGTGTGCTGGAAGAGAATCGCTTGCAGGAGATTCTGCATTGTGAGGCGAAAATTTTCGACTCGGTTGAAATGGCAAGAGTGAAACATACAATTTGGTGTCTTAAATTTATAAATTCGTATATGTCATTATATAAGCGCATGCGCTTATAAAAACGACTCAATTAGAAGCGCACCCCCTTAAAAAACTCTGCTTTATTATAAGCGCAGGTGCGCTTCTATCCGGGGTAATACGGTAACCCTAAAGTGTTGTACCCCTTGTAGGCTAACCCACTATAGTCTAGAGAGAACACAAACATATAGTTAGACACACCCCCATAGGCTAAGTGGGAAGTAGCAAACACAACAGACGGTCACAAGACCTGTCAAGCAAGAGAACAAAGCAAAGCAAAGCTCAGGGTGGATCTCAAGGACACCACATTATCTGAGCACAAGCAAGCGGCCACAAGGCCAGTTCACATGCGGAGTTATAATAGCAAGGCAGTACACTGATCACAACCTAGCAAGATTAAACAAGCAAGTATAAAGATATATATCAGTGTACAACAAGAGCAAGTCAAGCAACCAGCAGGTGAGGCAGAGTGGGCACAAGCCCAAGAGCAGTGCAGAAACGCTGATGATCACCAGACCCAAGGGCCTTGGTGAACACATCAGCAGTGTTGGCCCGCGAGGCCACGTAGGAAAGGCGGAGCTGACGATGCTGCTGCAGCTCACGTGCAAGGAAGTAGCGAAGAGCAATGTGCTTCGTCCTGTGGTCCAGTCTCTGCTCGCGACACAAGGCAAGCATTGCCTTGTTGTCGACGTACAGAACTGGAGGAGAACGAGGCCGCTCCCCCAAGTCGGTCAGCAGGTAGGCCAGCCAGCGTATCTCCTGTGCAGCCATGGCCTCAGCATAGATCTCGGCCTCACAGCTGGAACCAAGCACAGAAGAAGAACGACTGGACCTCCACGAGACAGAACCACAACCAAGACTGAAGGTGTAACCATGTGACGAACGCTGAGTCACCTGGTCGTCGGCCCAAGAAGCGTCGGAGTGTCCTGTGAGTACCACTGAACCCCGTCCTCCAAGCACGAGCCCCGTGCCCAACTGCACAAGTAATGCAATACCCTCTTGGCGGCAGGGTAGTGTCGGTGCGTAGAAACAACGACGGGTCAGCAGACGAAGGAGCAAACCCAAGAGCCGCATGTGTTGTCCTCAGTGTGTCGTGCCACTCGCGAGGCGCCTGGCGGAGACCATAGACTAGCCGCTAGAAGCTCGACTGGGTACCTGTAGGAAACGACCCAGTGAAGCCAGGTGGGCGGCGCAGCCAGATCTCCTCATGAAGGCAGCCCTGCAAGAAAACTGTGGAGAAGTCGAAGGAGTGCAGCTCGTAGTGACGCTGTGCTGCTACGTGCAGCAACACCCGAAGAGTAGTCATTTTCGGGGTGGGGGAGAAGGTTTGGAAGAAGTCGACCCCTTGTCGCTGACTGAAGCCTCGAGCAACGTAGTGCGCCTTGAAGGCAGGCGGAGAACCCGGCGACCGCTTCACTCTGAAAATCCACATGCCACGACTCTGTTCGCCCCAGGAGGAGGAGGAACCTCGTCCACGTAGGTGCCTGTGGACTTCCATGAAGCCATCTCTGCGTCCATGGCTGTCTGCCACTGAGAGGAGTACTCACCCGCTATCGCCTCAGCGTAAGAGCGCAGGGTAGGGATGTCAAGTGCATCCGGGTCTCCCTCAGGGCAAAGCAGCATGTATGCGAAACGAGGTAGAGCGGTCACAAGACATTCAAGCTCAAACTGTCTGTCCTCAAGGACGTCACTGCTAAGGGCAGGCTCACCCCCGACGGACGGAGGACAGACAGACTTGAACTCAGTAACAAGACTCGCGACGTAGTCGAGATGACTCCTAGCTACAAAGTCGACTAGCTCAGTGACTAGGGAAAACGCAACAGTAGACTCAAAGTCAGGGTCAGTGACGACAATAGCGAGGAGACGAGTGACAGTAGGATTGGCAGCACGAGCAAGGTCTGACTCAGGGTCAGGAACGTCAGGAAGAGAGGACGTTGGAGGAGACGGCAGGGCAACACGCTGTGGAACAGAGGAAGGATGAAGTGCCATAACGTGAGTGCCTGAGACAGCAGGAGGTCGAGAACGGGCGACACAACGAGCACGAACAGGTATGGAAGCACGAGTCTCAGGCTCACGTCGCTCAGTCAGGGACTCAGTCACCTTAGTGTGAGGAGCAAGAGTAGGCAACGGGGAGCCAGGCAGTAGCTGTGGCTGAGACTGGTCTGTCGGTGGACACAGGAGAGGTGGAGTGAGGCCAGAGGAAGACGGGAGACTAAGAACCTGGCGAAGGACCGAGTCAGGCGGCGGCAGGGACGACTGCGGCTGCAGGTAGAAAAACGGTCGGCGCGGGGCAGTACCAGCAGCTCCAGCTCCTCCAACACCAGCAGCACCAGCACCTCTAACACTAGGAGCTCCAGTAGCACCTCCAGCACCAGCAGCACCACGAGCTTCGGCAGCTCTAGCACCTCTAGCACCAGCAGTACCTCAAGCACCTCCAGCGCCAGCAGCTCCAGCAGCACCTCCAGCACCTCCAGCACCAGCAGCACCACCTGCTCCGGTAGCTCCAGCACCTCTAGTAAGCGCACCTCAAGGACCAGCAGCTCCAGCACCTCCAGCACCAGCAGCACCACCAGCCCCGGCAGCTCTAGCACCTCCAGTACGAGCACCTCCAGAACCAGCAGCTCCAGCTCCTCCAGCACCAACACCTCCAGTGCCAGCAGCTCTAGCACCTCCAGCACCAGCTGGACCTCCAGGACTAGCAGCTCTAGCACCTCCAGCACCAGTAGCACCTCCAGGACTAGTAGCTCCGGCACCTCCAGCACGCGCAGCACCTTCAGCACCTCCAGGACTAGCAGCTCTAGTACCCCTAGCACCAGCAGCACCTCTAGTACCTCCAGCACCAGCAGCACCTCCAGCACCTCCAGCACTACCTCCAGCACCTCCAGCACCAGCAGTACCTCCAGGACTAGTAGCTCTAGCACCAGCAGGACCGAACCCTCCACCACCACGACTACCTCGCCGAACGATCCACGCACGAATCGCCTGCGGCGAGAGCGTCTCAAGTAGATCAGGTCGCGGTGGCTGTCCAGCTCCAGGACCTCCAGCAGGGTCACCCACAGCTCCACCGCCACTAGGACTCGCAGCACCCCCAGAGTCAGCACCCCCAGTCGCAACACCCCCAGTCGCAGCACCCCCAGAACCAGCACCCCCAGTCGCAGCACCCCCAGAACCCTCACCCTCTATCTCAGCACCCCCAGGCTCAGCACCAGCAGTCTCAACTCCAGAGTCCACAGTAGCAGGCTGCGGAGGCGGCGAAGACGGCCGAGGCGGAAAACCAGGGGGGGTCTCCAAGCATGGAGAGCGGCAAGTGGCCGCCGTGTCGTCAGCGGCGGGGTCACCCCCCTCAGCTAGGCCAGAGGAGTCAGAAGAGATCTCCAAAGGCTCGACCAAGGGGGATGGGTCTACCTGAGACACACCTGAGGGAGCAGGACCATGGGGGGGGAGGGGGTCTACCAGGGGGGGACTGGTACCAGGAAGAGAGGCGCTAGGGGGACCGGGTGGGACGCGTGTGGGTGTAGCCTGTAGAAACAGACAGACTCGTCAAAGGTGACGTCCTGGGAGGAAAAGACTCGACGCTCGCGCGGGTGGTAGAACTGCCACGGCGGGGCGTCGGTGGGGAAGCCAAGGAAGACACAGCGGAGAGTGCGAGAGGAGAGCTTGCTCGCTTTGGCATCGCGAACAAGGGAGAGCGCGCCCCAGACCCGAAACACCGACGCATCACCAACCTTCCCTGTCCACCGGAGTGTGGGCGAGGTCTCCGGCTCAGAGACACAGGGCCAGAGGTTGAGCTGATACGGAGTG